TTTTTCATTTTTTTTCTTGTTTTATTGATTCTCATTTGTTTATGCCAAAATTATAAAAAAAAAAACTTAAATTTTTTTTGCTTTTATTCCTTTCTTCTTGCTAGTGAAAATTTAATTTTTGCAAAAATTCAAGAAAAATCTAATTTTGTGAAATTCTAGAAATTTTTTTTCTCTTTTTTCCTTTGTCCTTACTAGTAAAAGTTTAATTTTTTACAAAACTCTAACTATTTTTAAAATCCAAGAAAAATCTAATTTTTTGAAATCATAGAAATTTTTTTTTCCTTTTTTCCTTTCTTCTTACTAGTAAAAACTTAATTTTTACAAAACCCTAACTTTTTCACAAAAAAAAGTTAAACCTTTTCCAACCCTAAAAAAATAAAACCTTTTTTAAAACTCTAAAAAAATAAAAAGTGAATCTTTTTAACCTAAATTCTCTTTTGACCCTAAAATTCAAATCATTTTCAACCAAATTTTTTTTACCTTATTTTTTTAAACCCTTGAAATCTTTCTTTTTCATAAATAAAAAAAAAATCTAATTTCATTACAAATTCTAACAAAAAAACTAATACTTAAATTAAAGTTAGAATTATTTTCTTGTTATTTTTATTTACTTTTGTTTTTGTACATTTTCGTTTATTTTATATATTTCTCTTTTGCTCCCCCTTTGTATGCAAAAATTTAATATTAATATGTACATAAATCTTTTGTTGTCTAACAAAGAGAATTTTTTGAATGCACGTACAACACATAAATATTTTGTTATCTACAAAAAAGGAATTTTTTAAATCTATAGAATGGCCAATTAATTTTGATAAAGTAATGATCCAACTTTAACGTTGCTTAAATGATGAGAGTTTATTGAGTAGTTATATGTCAACTTGAACTCTATGCAAAAGTGTATTTACTTCAAAATAATAATAATAAAGTAAAAATCAAGTTTTCAAAAATAAAATATTTTAAACTTACCCTAATTTTTTTTTAATTTTTTGATTTTTTTAATTAAAAGTTTTTTTTAATATTTTTTTTAATAAATTTTAGTGGCGACTTTCTGTTATTATTTTTTTAAAACTGATTGTAACTCTTTTTTACAATTCTTCTTTTTCTCTATGTTGGTCGCCACCAAATGAGAAACCTTAACTTTGGATTTTAAAAAAAGTTAAGATTTTTTAAAAATTAAATTTTTACTAGTAAGGAGAAAGGAATAAAAGGGAAAAAAATTTCTAGGATCACTAAATTATATTTTTCTTAGATTTTTGTAAAAATTAAATTTTACTAGTAAGAAGAAAGGAACAAAAGGGAAAAAAATTTATAGGTTAGATTTTTAAAATTTTTTTTAGCATAAACAAATGAGAATCAAGAAAACAAGAAAAGATAAAAATAAAATAAGTTCTTACTTGACTGTCAAACAAAAAGAAAAATCGCTAATGTGTTTATTCTTCCTTGTACTTATTTTGTCAACTCTTTCGTGGTGGATTAGGGTTCTTAGATTGAAACTCTCTTCTTCAACCTTTGATGTGTTATTGACTTTAGTACGTGTATATTGAAAATTGCTTTTAGGATATTTGTTTCTTCTCGTGACTTTTTTTTCTCTTTCTTCTTTATTTCAACGTATTCTTAAAAAAGTTTCTTCTCTTATTTTCTCTCCTTTTTATCTTTCTTCTTTGTTTCTTAAGTTTTCTCTTTTTCCTCTCTGTCTCCCAAGTCTCTCTCTCTCTTTCTCTTCTCTTTTGTTTCTCATGTTCTCCAAAAGATTTTAGTTCTCTCACTTTTTGTTTCACTATCTTCAAAGAAAATTTTCTCCTTTTGAGGACTTAAGCTTCTTATTTACAGGAACTTTTTGAAACCCTAAATTCTATTTAATATATATTTTTATTTCTTATTTAGATAAAAAGTTTAAACTTCCCATTACCCCTTATTTTCCTATGACCACCCAACTTTTTTTCAACCGTCTCATCCACTTCTTCTAAAGCTCTACCTTTTAATTATTTTTTTATTAACCAAAATATCTACCTATTTAAAATTTAAATTCTAAATCCTAACATTTTATAGAATCTAAAATTTTAAATTTTATCTAATTTTTATTTTATTTTAATTTTTAAATTCTTAAATTCTAATCTCTTATAGAATCTAACATTTTAAATCCTACTTAATCTAATTTTATTTTTTTAAATTTTAAATTTATAAATCCTAACTCAATAGAATCTTTAATTTTAAATTTTATATTTTAAAATTTTATTTAGATTAGAGTGGACCGGATAAAATTGAGTATTCATAATTTTAACATATATTTTTTTACTTTTAATTCTTCAAGACTAGTATTTAACTTTTTTAAATGACATGCAGGTCCTGTGGGAATTTTTGGCAGAGCTGTTTACAAAAACTGGAAATTGGTGGAACTTCAATTTAGAGCTGAAAGACGAAGCCTCTGAACAAAATGAATTGAAATGAGAAGATCTGAAAACCAACGCCTAATTTGCGATTTATGCACCAAATTTTTAGAAATTGAAACAAACCAAAATTGACTTAGTTCAAGGTGGGATTAATGCTTCTGCACTAATTTGAGATTTCTGCTTCAAGCTCAGCATTTTTGCATCTGCACTACTTTTGCAATTTTCATCAAAAAATAAATAATTTTTTAAAAAATTTCATGATCAAAAAACTTAAAATTAAACTAGTAAAAGCTTTTTGTTGCACCACACTAGTTTTGTTGTGCCTTTTTCAATGGCTAAGTTGAAGACTTCATCCCGTATTTTCAAATTTCAAGCATGCATTCTGAGTTCTACCATGTTCAAATGTTGTACCTTATTTTGCAGCACCTTGTATTTGTAACATAAAGAAGAGCATTATCATTAGGTGAAACCAGTATTTTTGTTATAAAACCGATTGTATGTTGAATCTCTATACTTGGTATTCCCATTAGGTAAAATCAGTATTTTCGTTATAAAACCAATTGTATGTCGAATCTCTATACTTGGTGTTTATAATTTGGTTTAGAAAATGATAAATAAGAATTTGAAATACTAGTTTTAAGATAATAAATAATATACTGAAACAAATGATAAATAATAATAATATTTTTTTTATCATTTAGTGCACATTATACATAAATTAACGCATTTTTATATGGTTTTAATTTAGTTCGTGTAGAACTTTCACAAACAAATGGCATGTATTGCACTTGGAATATTCTGTATGAGAAAAAATTTATTGTATTTTTAATGTAATGGACACTATCCTTTTGAAACTAAAGAAGAAAATTTTGTTTGCTCTGGTAAGAGATCGAAGTAATATGCCTTCAATAGTTTATATTCTTACAATTCTAGTTTATATTGCAATATTTAAAATTATTATATTTACAATAACATGACATAACAAGCACATTTGTTGTTACGTAAAGTGTGTATAAAATTATATTAAGAGTAACATTATTATGATTCCTTACTTGGTTTCGATTTGGATTCCATTCCAAAGCTACAATTTCATTTATGCTCTTTTAAGCCTCTTTCGAATTTCGATTACATGATAAAGAAAAAGAAAAATGTGAAAAGACCTGTGGCGTGATCTTAAATTTTTTATTTACTTGTCTGAATGCATGACTTTGTAACCACAGGTGGTTCTGTGGCTGTGAATAAACACAGGTTTTATTAGCATGATTTTGATATTGAATATTATTATGAAAAGTCGACATTATATCATACTATTAAAATTCAATTGCGTCCATTAGAACGCGTGAACTTCAATGCTCCAAATACCCCAAAGCCGCCAAAACCAGCAATCTCCTCCTACAATGCTACTCTTTTTATGGACTGTCAAAGTCCATAAAAATAACATTTCAATTTTATACTATATCTTTAAAATACATATATATAAAATATAAAATAATATATTTATTATTTTAATAATTCAAGTGACGACATTATAAATTTAAAAATATAATATGAATTTCATTTATAAATATTATGTTCACTAAAATTATTACCTAGTTAAACCAAAAATTGGTTTACGTGGTATAAATTATTATTTTTTATTTTGAGAGATTGATATAAATCATATTTGTTCTTTTGGACAGCACTCACTAATATAATTTAAAGTCATATAGTTAAATTTGATCGTTCATAAGATGTGATTTTGAATCTAATTCCATAATAATAATAATTAACATCAATAGAAATAAATTACTATTCCTTGGCATATTTATAAATCTGTCTAAAGATATTTTTTATTTTTTTCTAATTTTTTTTGCTAATTACATTTTTTTTTATTTCAGCCAAACGCTACTTAACATTTAAATAAAAATAAAATAAATATTCATTTTTTTCAGTTATAGTTAGCAAATCACAATATAAATATATTAAAAGTATATATAGAGTAATTCCTTTATATAAGTATTAAAGTTAAATACTTAAATTATTTAATAATTTTTTATATAATATAAATCTGACTAATTTAACCATTTGAATTGTTTTATGTTATTTTTATAATCATATATATAAATTTTATATAATTTAAATATTTATAAATATGTTATCTAAAATTTAATATTTAGTTATATTTTAAAAAAATATTACATGATGTATAAAGGTGAGAATGATAAAATATATGAGTGGTAAAATATTAAAACAAAATTAAACATGAATGTTCAAATTTAAATACAATTTAATAATTTGAAAATGGAACACATTTAAAGGTAAAATCAAGGACACAACCTAAAATATACACGTCTCTCATAAAAGAACTTTGATTTATTTGCTTCGTAAAAAATGCGGTGCTCATTTAGGGAGAATAAAGAAAAGAACTAATAAAAAAGAAATATTTTATAAATAAAATATGTGTAATTGATATGGATTTGAAAGGGAAGGACGTGGCTTACACGTCCTCGGCAACTGCGTCTAAGACTCTACCCAAAATCACTTGTCTTCTTGCCTAATAAACTCTCTCTCTCTCTCTCTTTCCTTTCCCTCTCTTAAAAAACCAGAACTTGTGGAGTTGTCGCTGGTGGTTCGACGGAACAGAGAGTGGGAGAGATGGAGGAGAGGCTTTACGATGAACTAATGCAAGAAATATTCCAGAGGCTTCCCTCAGCTTCATGTTGTTCTGTGCCCCTTGTGTGCAAGAGGTGGCTCCATCTCTACCGTTCTTCCAGAACATCCCTCACCCTTCGCCTCTCCCATCGCTCATGCCTCCTCCCTTCTCTCTCCTCTTTCCTCTCCCACCACACTTCTCTCTCTTCCCTCTCTCTCTCCCTCTCTCCCCCCTTCTCTCCCCCCCTCTCCCCCTTCTCCTCTCGGTCATCTCTTCCTCTTCTCCCAACCTTCTCGCTCTCAGCTTCATGGCCGGCCCCGTTTCTCTCTCCTCCCTCCTTTCTCTCTCCAACTCATGCCCCCGCCTGACATCCCTCTCTATCGCCCTCTCCAGGCCCATATTCCTCAAATGGCTCTTGTCCTTCCCTTGCTTGAAAGACTTGTCTATATCCTTGTGTTCTTATCATGATGGCGGTGGTTGTCTTCGCGAGGTGAATATGGAACATGGGGTGCTGGAAAGTGAATTTTTTGATGCGGAATTGGGGCTGGAGAGTCTTTGTTTGGTGGGTATTACTGGAGATGATAGGGGGTTTGGTTGGTTATGGAGGAGCTGTACGAAGCTCAAGAGGTTGAAGCTTCAGGGCTGTCAAGGTATTGGAGGCTCTTACTCCTCTTTTGTGAGGTGCTTGCAGGGTCTTCAAGAGGTGGAACTCAGAACATGTAGGAGTGTGGTTGATGGGGTTCTCTTGAAACTCGTGGAGCATTGCGATTCTTTGAATTCGCTTTTGGTTCATGATGGTGGTAGCAGAGAGGGGTTGCTACAGTTCTTTTCTCAATGCAGGTCTAAGATACTTAAACTTGATCTTCGTTTACCTTTGGACCTTAATAATGACCATCTTTCAGCTGTCGCCGGAAATTTCAGAGGCCTTTCGAGTCTTAGGCTTCAGAGTTGTTGTTTTGTCAATGGTGAGGGCCTTAAGGCTCTTGGGATGGCAATGAGTAATGGGCTTGAAGAATTGGCTCTGATTAATTGCGATGTGGTTGAAAGAGAACCTGGGCTGCTTGCCACTTTGGGGCAGCATTTGAGGCAATTGAGGAAACTAGACTTGTCACATAATGAAATGTTGCTTGACAAGGAGTTCATTTCCATGTTAGTTTCGTGCATTCATTTGATTGATTTGAGGGTGAGAGGGTGTAAAGGACTCACCAGTGTTGCTATGGTTTCCATGCTTAGGAGCTGCAAGCGCCTTGAAAATGTAGATATTATGCACTGTTTTGGGATTGAATCTGATGCTATTGAGCTGTTTGTTAAGAATTCTTCTCGTTTGAGGAGGATAGAGGTTGAGGGAAGCAAGGTTTCTGATGCTGCAAAAACATGGGCATCAAGTAAATTTATTGAAGTTGTTTGATTGGCTTGGTGGAAGGTTGAAAGAAGCAAGTGTATATTTCTTAAGTTTAAAATAAACAGGTATACTTCACACTTCACTCTGCTGATCACTGTATTTATTGTTACGTTCACGTGTCTGTAATTTATGTTTGGAAAATATGAAGAATATTTTCTTCTCTCTTACTCTTTCGATTTCATTTTGTGGGATCAATCAAATAATGTAACGTTTATATTTATCTACAAAAGGGTGGATGCTGAAAGAACCACCGTTCACGGTTCACACTCCTGATTACTCTATTTATTTTATTACATTCACGTTTCTATAAAGCGCCATTTATATTTATGTACGAAAATGAGACAAATACAACATGTTTTTAGGCCCATGCTCAGTTTCTGTTCTGTTGGAACTGGTTTGATATTGTGCGACTGATAGGCGAGTGTGTAAATATACAATATAATCCCTTTATGTTTCATTTTGGGTGTACAAGAACAAGTGGATTGGTGTGTGGTCCATAAAACTGATTTTGCTAACTCATTTATGCGTCCATAAAACTGACTATACCCACTGGCACGACGTCAGAAGACAGCTATATGGGTGGTGCATTATAAAGTATGGGGCTAACTTTAATTTAATTAAAAATTAAAGGTGGATGGTTAATTGCAACTGCAATTTAATGAAGAGTGGGAATCCAGCAATTTCTAAGTTGCAGTTTGATAGGGGAGGAATTGACATACTACTTTGATATGATATATATTGCACGAAAATGTAATGGGAAAGTAGGGATATTAGGTGGGGGAAATTGAACACTTGACAATTTATTTGCTGTGTGGATTTCAGGTGCACCATGCGCTTAGTTGTGTTGCATTTTGACCTATGTTGTATTTTGTTATCGGTTTTCAGAACGTGGAGGAAAATCCCAAGTGTGAATAACTTAGTTAGCATGGATAAAATGTGAAGTATAAGCATTAAATTTGAAATTGTTATGGAATTAAATTGCCTTCCATAGCCATTTAATGCTTGTTGAATTGTTCAAATTCAAACTTCAAGCTAGAGCTTAGAAAATTCATGCGCTCAAAAGTTGTTGTTTTAGTCACTATTGGAGGTTGGTTTTATCACTTTAAATGCCCTTTTTGTTTTTTGTTTTTTATTTTTCTCCTTTTGTTTTCTTATCCACCCTTTTCTTTTAGGTAGTTTGAAGGTGTAAGTTATTGGAGTAGCGTTCTTTTAAAGGTCGAGAGATTAAAATATTTGTTATTTTCAACTTTTCCCGCTACAGAACTTCAATTGGAATACAAGGCAATAACTTCGATATGATTGATTCGTGTCCATTGTCTATGAATTATGAGTTGTTTTCTGTAATTCCATTCATTCTAAGCTTTGCAAACAACAATTTTAGGTCGTTTTCCTTTTATTTTTTGTTTGGTTCATAATGAATGCTGCAAGGAAGCAAAACAGTACAAAAGGCTCATTTCCTATCGGCCCAAAAGTAAATAGAGTGTTAACCTAAGAGACGGATCTACCTAGCAATCATGTTTACACCCTTAAATTTTAGAAGGTCTATTATTAATATTTTGAAAATTTTTCCCAAAGCTTTTAAAAACAAATTTCTGAAATTAATTTTTAGGAAATTTATTTGAATAGATTTTGAAATTAAGTTTTCGAAAAAAATGCAATCCCTAAAATTGAACTTGCGTTTTCAGAAAAGAGAAAAAGAAATGATTTTGAGGTTATTTTAGAATAAAAAGTGTAAAGAAGGTTAAGATGGTGTTGTGTATTACTGTATTTATATAAAAAAAGAGGTGCAAAAACTGTTTGGGCCTTATTGGTTTCTCAATTTATCTCTTTTTCTGTCAAATGGCACTTTTTCTTCATGTGTTGCAATGAGTCAAAGACTCAAAAGGAAAATTGGTTATTCAATTTGGTTGCTCAACCATGCCGATGTTGAAATCTGGTTGAGAACAGTCTATTGTGGTTATGAAAGAGTTTTTTTTATTTATTTTGAGAGTTATTAATTAATGTAGGTAAAATTATACGTTTGGTCTTCTAATTTTAAATTTTTTTATTCTCTACCGTTTATTTTAGTCATTAAACTTTTATACATTCAATAAATTGGTCTTTCTTATTAGCTTCCCTTAACTTTGTTAACGTCAGTGTTGGATTGACTTAAATGTTGTTTCATTTTAATCTTTTAACTCAAGTCTGACAAGTTAGGCTTTTATTTGAGTTTTAAAATAATTTCAATATTCTGCAATAATGGATTGAAAATATGAAAGCCCATCTTGAAAATGAACTAAAGACAGTCATGACAATATCTGTACATTAATTTAGAAAACACTCATTAAAACATTTTGCCTATATTTCTTTATTCTTCTTTTTATTTTTTTTTATTATGTGTTCATGTAATGTATAATAAAAAATATATCACTTAAAATTAATACTTAAGCATTCAGTTTAGGCCAAAATTCTTATCAAATAAGTTTGTTTTTAGGAGGGAAGTAAATCTTTCTAAAAAAGTAGGCGAGGTTTCAAACTTGGTATTTTGTCCAAGTATTTTTTAAGTTAATATTTCTCTGTAAAGTGAAAATTGGACTAATTATATGACTTCAACAACTTGTCTAGAATTATCTTGTTTTATTTGATAGGATATAATTAATCTATCTTGCTAATTTGTATTTTTTTTTAGTAAGATTCACTTTTCTCTTAAATACAAATTTATGTGTATACATGAATTTTCAATGCTATGCATAAAACATAAATTCAATATAAGAACCAAAAAATGCAAAAAAAAAAAAGAATGGAAAATTTTTTTGATGGGAGGTGAGGATTTTGAAAGTGAGGAATGGACTTCCGAGGAGGACTTAGAGGAAAGAAGAAGGTGATGAGCTAGAAGACGGAGCTGATGATGACATGGAGGTTATTTAAGGTCTTGATAGCAGGAAAAAGAAAAACAATACAAATTATTGAGAAAAAGTTGAGAGGTTATGATTGCCTAAGTTTCATTATAGGGGAAAAGATGAACAGGAGAATATGTTGCTCATGGAAGAATGGTCTTATAGTGAAGCTACTAGGCCAAAAAATAGACTTCATAACTCTGGAGAATCGTTTAAAACAACTATGGTTAAGGAAGGAAGCTTTAACTCTAATTGTTTTGGGTTTTGACTGCTTCCTTATTAAGCTCACTAACAAGGATGACCTCTCTACTGCCTTATCTAATGGACCTTGGCTCATTTATGATCATTATTTGGTCATTAGGGAGTGAGTGCCTAATTTCCATCTCTCCGTTGAGACTATTGACCAAGTTACTCTATGGGTGAGAATATTAGGACTTCTGATTGAGTAGTATGACCTTGCTATTGTTTTGAAATGATTTGTAATATCATTTTTGTCTTATTTTTAAATGTTTCAATATGGTTTGCTCAACTTTAAACATCTTTAAGCAACCATATTTTCCTGGGTTTTAAGAACTTTCGCGAAATTTCATTTGTTTTAGTTTTGAATTTTTTAGGCATCACTTGCTCCAACTTTTAAATGTTTTGGTATAGTTTGCCCTTACTTTGAGAAACTTTGAAGAATCACATTTGAATCAATTTTGAACTGATTTAGGACCATATATGGCTTATTTTTAAAATGTTTTAGACATTGTTTGCTCTAGATTTTAAATGTCTTCAAATCGTTTGCCCCTTCTTTGAACAATTTTGGGTAATCACATTTGTATCAATTTTAAATTCATTTGTAACATCGTATTGTCTCGTATATTTATTTTCCTTAATTTAGACATTAGGATTACACTAGTTCTAATCCATCTCATTTCATTTAGTTTTGAAATTTTAGGGCGACATTTGCCTCAACATTTTAATATTTTAGGCATCGTCCTCCCTTATTTAGAGCTATTTTGAGTAATTACCTTCATATTTATTCATTTTAGACATATGTTTGTTCCATATTTGAAGTATCTTGGACATTGCATACTTTATTTTGAATTATTTTGAGTATCAAAGTTTGATTTTTAGAAATATCAATTGATTTACTTTTCAATATTTTTTAAGCATCTCTTGCCTTAACTTTGAACCAATTTGAATTATCAAGTTTATCCTCATTTTGAAATGTTTCAAGCATCTTTTGTCTCAAATTTGAGCATTATTTTGTTTATGACATTTTCAAACATCCTGGGCATTGTTTGCCTAAATTTTGTGTAGCTTTAGGCAATTTCATTTGTCGTACTTTTAAACTATTTGGACATCATGTTTGCTGATTGTGTTTCTAAAATATTCTAAACATTATTTGCCCTATGATTGTTTTGTGAGTATCTTTGAGTAATCACATTTGTCTTATTTTTTTAACTGATTTAGGACATTATATTTGTCATTTTGTTTTTTTGAAATATTTCAAACATTGTTTGCCCCTTGCTTTGAGCTTTTTTGGACAATCATGTTTACCTCAATTTTGAACCTAATATGAGACATGTTCGTTCCTGTTTAAACACTTCAAGTATCATTTGCTCAACTTTGAGTATTTTTAGATTATCACATTTTTAGTTTTTACTTCTTTTCAAACATCTTGTTTACCCCATTTTTAATGCTCGACCATTATTTGCCATATTTTGAATTATCTAAGACATCAAATTTGCTCTAATTTTGTTTTTATCAATTTGAGGTATAATGTTTGTCCCCCCTTTCAATTGCTTGGAGTTAAAGCATTTTTCTTGATCTTTGAGTTGATTTCATGATATCATTTCGTCTCTTTTTTAAGAAAGTTTGCAGTTCACTATGCCAAAAAGCACAAATTTGGATAGCAGTTTTTACTAACCGTTTTGTATAAGATAGTAAGAGAGCGGTTAGCGTTGAACCGCTATCTAATATACCTTTTTAAGAGCAGTTTATCTGAAACCGCTCTCTATTATACACTTATAAGAGCGATTTATCTGGAACTGCTTTCTAAAGTTAACTTGGAGAGCGGTTATTAAATAATCGCTATCAAAAATTTGATATTTTAGTTAGCAAACTACTCTCTAAAGTTAACTTGGAGAGCAGTTATTAAATAACCATTATCAAAAAGTCGATATTTTAGTTAACGGTTGACACGTGAAACCACTCTGAGAAGTGTAGATCTTAACCGTTCTCTAAAGTTATATTTCAAATTAAACCCTAACCCTCAAAACTGCTCATCCCTGTTCTTGAGCCTATTCGATAACTCTAAATTTCTCTTTGGTCATTGTGTTACATATTTCCACCACCATCTACACCGTTGATATTACATTCGCACTCTCAAGGTATATTCATCATCATCTATGTGTTGTCTAAAGTTACATTACTAAGATGCACTTTTTTTTTGCTTGTGTTGAAT